ATTTTATATTTTATATTTTATATTTTATATTTTATATTTTATATTTTTATATTTTTTAGTCTTAATTTTTTTGTTTTACAATAAATTTGTAAAAACAAGACTGTTTTATTTCAGAGACAGTTCAGACCTAACGGAATTGTAACGAAAGAAGGAGCGGAATATTATCAGTTATGGCGCAGTACAGGTGGTCACTCGTCTCTCGAATCTTTATACGAAACTCTGTATCCAATGCCACCACCGCTTCCACCAAGAGCAGCGCATCGACCGTTACATAGAAGCAACGCATTACCAAGCGGCGCACCAGAGCTACCTAAACGACATCAAAGGCATCCCACGCCGTTGCACCCTGAAGATTGTTTTGGATTCGAGATTGTAGATGTTGACGAAGCCTCAAATCTCAAGGTTGAGATTGTGAAACTTAATTATTACTCAATACGATGCAGTTGCATCTAGAGTAATCTAGACTACATGTAGATTATCTGTAACGTTTTAGTTAAGAACGGCAGTTACAAAAAGTATCGCTCTATTAAGTTCACCGAGATCGCACAGACAACGAGAAAGGCCAGAATCGACAATGGCTAATCAACTGGAGTGTCCGCCTACCCCTACACATCGACCCAAACCTTTGTGTCCATTGCCTGTATGCCAAACGTCAAACGTATCTTTATCTTCAGAGGAACCTCTGCCTCCATGTAAGTAAATATAATACCTACTACATGCTCATACTTCTGCGCATACTTCGTATTTTCCACACTTTTCTCTCGATGTTAATTGATTAATCGTCATATATATTTTAGCATGGGAAGCGAGAATAGACAGCCACGGCCGAGTATTTTACATAGATCACATCAATCGAACAACAACGTGGCAAAGGCCAAACTTGACGACACGTAATACCGGTTGCGACCTACGAAGACAACAATTAGACAGGCGTTACCAAAGTGTGCGACGAACTATTTCGCGTCCCGACAATATAGATCGCGAAGCTAACGGCTCAAACGATAATTCTTTTGACAATACCGAGCGGCAGAATGACCGTACTGACAGGAGCGAATCTGAGCCATTCGATATCACCACGATACCACCGGTATTATTCCTAACACGGCCCGACTTCTTTACCGTGCTGCATACCAACGCAGATGCTATGGAAGTGTACAACCGTAATCCAAGTTTAAAACACATGATCAATAGAGTTAGAAGGGATCCGATAGTTTTCCCAAGATACGAGCACAATAGAGATTTAGTTGCCTTAATTAATGTCTTTGCCGATCCAACCAAGGAACTTCCAAGAGGGTATGAATCAAAGCTCGACAGGACAGGCAAAGTAAGTTTTTGATCAAATTTCACAAGAGAGAGGAAGAGAGAGGACCTGTGTGATTGCGTGATATTGATCATCAAGTCTTGTGATTTCAGAGATTTTTCATATGTCATGCTAGGAAGGCTACGTCTTTTATCGATCCACGATTACCTACAGAAGCCGCTCATATACGAACATTGCTAGACGAAGCTCCCGTTCCACCGCCCAGGCCACAACAAGCGTCTGTAACCGCTACTCCCGACATACCTGTGGCCTACAACGACAAAGTAGTTGCATTTCTACGTCAGCCTAATATAATGGATATTCTAAAGGAAAGGCATTCTGCGTTAGGACAGAATATAGCGCTTCGAGAGAAAGTTAATACTATAAGAGTCGAAGGAACTTCAGCGTTACAAAGATGGGGCCACGACGTTCCTTTAGCATTATTGCTAAGGTAGAAAACGAATGCTCCAATATATCTTTTATTGGCTTATACATACAGTAATATCATGTTATTTACAGTTTATTCGAGCAAGAAATAATGTCCTATGTACCTGGTAGTATGGGTAGATCTCCGCTCGGTAGCCCGCATGCATCACCTGGACTGACAAGAGCTTCTGCCAGAGCTCCCGCACCGTACAGGAGAGATTTCGAAGCTAAACTTCGAACTTTTTATCGAAAACTGGAAAGCAAAGGTTACGGGCAAGGACCGGGTAAATTAAAGTGCGTTTCAGCACATATACATATACATATATACATATATATATGTGTGTGCGTGCGTGCGTGCGTGGGTGTGTGTGTGTCAGTATATATTCCGAGAATTGCGTTTATCGAAAAATTTTATTACCTGTACAGATTACACATCAGAAGGGAACATTTACTCGAAGATGCTTTTACGCGTATAATGGCTGCATCAAAGAAGGATCTGCAGAAAGGTAAACTGGTGGTCATCTTTGATCATGAAGAAGGATTGGATTACGGCGGGCCATCCCGAGAATTTTTTTTTCACTTATCACGCGAACTGTTCAATCCGTATTACGGATTGTTTGAATATTCAGCCAATGACACTTACACGGTGCAAATCTCGCCGATGTCGGCTTTTGTGGACAACTATCACGATTGGTTCAGATTTTCGGGCAGAGTTCTGGGTTTAGCATTGGTTCATCAGTACCTACTCGACGCGTTCTTCACGCGACCATTTTATAAGGCTCTTTTAAGGATACCGGCGAGTTTGAGCGACCTGGAGAGCTTAGACCAAGAATTTCATCAGAGTTTAATGTGGATCAAAGAGAAGGACATCAGTATCGAACCGTTAGAATTAACTTTCTCAGTAACGGAGGAACTTTTGGGACGAGTCGCCGAACGCGAGTTGAAGCCAGGTGGGAGAAATATCGCGGTTACTGAAAAGAATAAAAAGGAGTATCTCGAGAGAGTAGTACGTTGGCGTCTCGAGCGTGGCGTCGCGGAACAAACGGAATCGTTGGTTCGTGGCTTTTATGAAGTGGTGGATCCGCGTTTAGTATCCGTTTTCGATGCCCGTGAGTTAGAGCTGGTTATCGCGGGTGCGGCTGAAATCGACCTAAACGATTGGCGAACGCACACCGAATACAGGAGCGGTTATCACGATGCGCATCCGGTAGTGGAGTGGTTCTGGAGCAGCATAAGTCGATTTACCAATGAGCAACGTCTAAGACTACTGCAATTTGTTACCGGCACCTCGAGTATTCCATACGAGGGATTTGCGGCTTTGCGTGGATCCACAGGACCAAGGAAATTTTGCATCGAAAAATGGGGAAGGCCAAACAGTTTGCCAAGGTATTTAATCTTCTTTTAATCCGCTAATAATGGCTGCATTAAGGACGTTCTCTCGTCCTTATACTAGAAAAAATCGATTTTCTTAGGATTTTCTTGAAACTGTGAATATACGTTAATTTAGGTGTGCTTTATGCGTGGTATAAATTTCAGTACCTCTTCCGGGATAAAAAATAAAGATACTGAGCCTCAAAGTTTCAAAAAAAATTTTAAATTTAATTTTTTTTAGTTTTGGCATTTTTTCCTTATAGAACTCGATGAGAGGAGCAACTTTAGTCCTCTTGGCCAACCTCGTATCTCTTACCGTTTGGCCTGGAAAACCTTTTCATTAGTAAAAGTTGAAACTTTGAGGCTCAGTATCTTGATTTTTTATACCGGAAGAGGTACTGAAATTTATACGACGCATAAAGCACACCTAAATTAACATAATTCACAGTTTCAAGAAAATCCTAAGAAAATCGATTTTCTCTAGTATAAAGACGAGAGAACGTCTTTAAGCACTCTATATTTTGTTTTTTTTTTATTTTCCGTATAAATTCGCAATATCTATGATCTATCGTCATTGTCGTTTCAGGGCTCACACGTGCTTTAATCGCTTGGATCTTCCACCTTATCCTACACCCGAGATTTTATATGAAAAGCTGCTGTTGGCTGTAGAAGAGACAAATACGTTTGGTATAGAATAAGGCGACGAATTGGGTCTGTAATTATAAAGAATTTGTACAATTGATAGAATTATAACCATCCAGGTTGCATTTTCTTCTAACAAGGAAACCCATGGAAGTGTTTTCCCCCATTTTTGCCCAGACTAGAGTCAAGCTCAACAGGGTCTTCTTTCCCCGCTAATTTTTCCAAGCCCGTTCCCTTGGCAGTGGTTTCGCTAAATAGTAGATAGGGACAGTGGGAATCTTGTTAATCCATTCATGCGCGTCACTAATTAGATGATGAGGCATTTGGCTACCTTAAGAGAGTCATAGGCCGGTATTCATAGTCGATTCTTATATTTAAGACCGTCTTAAGTACAATCTTAAGATGTCATGAACCAATCTTAAGAGCCAATCTTATTAGCATCTTAAGACATTACTTAAGACGGTTTTGAAATAAGAACCGACTATGAATACCGGCCATAGTTACTCCCGCCGTTTATCCGCGCTTGTTTGAATTTCTTCACGTTGACAGTCAGAGCACTGGGCAGAAATCACACGCCCATGCATGTCCATACGCGTGTTTAAGGGGCGAAATATCCCTTTAAAAAAAAATTGGTTTTTCTCTTTCGGGCCGAATATCTCCGAAATCATTAAAAGACAGAAAAAAATGTTTAAACAAAAGTATTTTAAAACAATGATAAAAAATTGTTTAATTTTTATTTTTTAAGAAAAATTGAAAATTTATTTTAATTTTTTCAATTTTTCTTAAAGTTTTTCTTAAAGTTTTATTTTGTTTAATTTTTCTTAAAGTTTTTCTTAAAGTTTTATTTTGTCATTATTCTAGAAGTGCTCTTTAAATCATTCAACTTTTGTTTAAAAAATTTTTTTCTATCTTTTATAGTTTCGGAGATATTCGGCCCGAAAGAGGAAAACCGATTTTTTTTTCAAAGGGGTGTTTTACCCCCCTAAACACGCGTATGGGCACGTATAAAAAAATATGTGTCCCTTTTTTCATCTAGAGAATAACGTACTAAAAGCTCATCAAAATCGGAGAGGGACACTTTCGTGGGTTTTTTTGTTAAGAAAAATAGAACAAGATTTTGTATAGGCCTAACGGTTTGTGAATTATGTGAGTCATTATTAATTCAATTTATTCAAATCGAATTAATAATGGATATCGGATATGCGATGTAAAAGAAACTAAACAATCTACAGCTTTACAATCTCTCAGAATTTTCGATCGGACGATGCGTTTAATTTATTGTGTGAAATAGCATAACGATTGAATATTCTCTCTTTAAACTTTCACGAATCTATGTGATTTGTTGATGTAGAAGATTATGCTTGCAATCTATGCGATTCGTTGATGCAGTCGTTACGTTGTACACACTGGGATCTCGTAAATCTCACAACTTTTCTTGTTTCAGATTTCCTTAAGTTAGCGGAGCTCGGGCCGGTTGTTCCAATCTGTTGATAAACTAACTAATAGTTAAATCACATGTCTTTGTTTTTTCTTCAAATTAGACAAAGATAGATATGTATATATGATTTCACTATTAGTTAACTTATAAACAGGTTGGAACAACCGGTCCCTAATCTTTTAATTTTTCCAGATTCCTTCTTTTCTTTGTATTTTTTATCTTGTTTTCTAAAAAAAAATAATTTATTTGCCAAATATGAATATCTATTGTCATCTATTATATCTATTATAAATCTTCAACAATTCTAACGAGAATAGATGCATTCTAGAGATTATTACTTCTTCAGGGCTTTTAAAAAAGATTAAAGAAATTAATTTAAGTAAATGTAAAGAGAATATGTGCTGTTGCTAATACTGCTACTACCAATGGGTACTTTCTATTTACTAACACAAGTCGACACAACTCTCGTTCTGTCTTTGTTACTCATTGAATGTCAAGAAAGCTAGAACGACGTTTGTGTCGACTTGTGTCACTAAATGGAAAGCACCCAATATTACTGTCCTATTATTACCTATTGCTGCTACTACTGTTAATACTGATTATTGATATTGCTACTATGACTACGTTTACACGGCCAGATTTACGCCGAAGTTATAACATCAATGTTATAACTTCGGTGTAAATCAGGCCCTATAAACGTAGTCTATTATTACTACTACTGCTGCTACTGCTACTGCAACTGATACAATTACTACTACAATTACTACTACTATTGCTATTATTATTATTATTTTTACCATTATCACACCATTGTCACATTAATATTATATTACTTATTATTTTACCATTATTATTATAATCACCACTTTTGATTACAATCGAATCTCATCATAGAATTCAAAAAATAATACTGCATTGGGATGACTTACAGCTCCGCTAATTAAATTTTCTACTCTGCATTTTTATATGTATAATTCAATATCTTTACTTCGGGATATACTGAGGTCCGAGTGTACTGTTGTCGAAACATTTAATTGTGGCCGTCACTAGTGTTTCTAGTCCATGAGTTGGAATTTCACATGCAGCTGCCTTTTAATGTATCTTAACATTCCGAAGATTCTTGTTAGTTATATTTAAAGAGTTTATAGAGCAAGATTGTTAACGCAGGAGATAAATATCACACCTTTGTAAGTTAGCGAATTTTAAAAATTTCGCTAAAAAGCACTTTTATCTTACATCTACTTTTTATTGCTTAGTCATAACGTAATGTATAGATCTTTTGAAAAACTTTGCACATAGTAAAAATATTAAGGAATAATTCATACCCGAGAAATATAGACTTATTACGATATCTTTTTATTAAGCAAGTACGTTATTATTTATTATTAAATCGCTATACATATATATATATATATATATGGGTCATTCTCCGTGAAATCAGACACCCCCCTGTCCAAAAATTGGGGTCACCTAAAAAATTTTGTCGGGGCTTATTTTATAGCTACACATATGTAGTTTTAGTTAAGCTGTGGTCTTTTGAAAAATCAATATGACGGACCTTAATATGGTGGCCGAAGTCTGCGGGTAACGAGGTACGACAGATGAAATCGTTACTTGGAAGTTATAGACTGTCATAGAAAAATGTGTTAATGTGTTTATTTAGTAGTTAGCATTGAATCCATGGAAAAAATAAATTTTTAGTTTGTCCAAAACCAATATGGCGGCCAAATTATCCGTGAAATACTAAAAAATAACTATTTCGTTCTTTAAAACGTACAAACTGCGTTCAATTTTTATGAAAATTTATATCATGATACATTTTAAGATGTTGATCATAAATTAACAATTGGGACGTCGTATTTGAATATAACGAAACCCAATATGGCGGTTGTATATTCGAAAAATGCTAAAAAATAATGACGTCGATATTCAAATCATACAGACTCGTTCTAATTATTATTAATTTGAGTGTTACGGTATTTTTTAATTGCTTTTTTTTATTTAATTTTTCAAATTTTTATGAATTTTTATTATTTTTTTATTTTTGACTATGATTTCGTTATTGCGGTGACAAAATTTGAACGTGGTTGATCAAATATGATTTTTCCAGTAAATACAGAATAATTTTTGAATAAGTGAGTGAAGGCAAGACAGGTAATCTTTCGAGCCAGTGAAGGCAAGAGAGACAGATTGTCCGGCCAGTGAACGCAAGAGAGACAGATTGTCCGGCCAGTGAAGGCAAAAGAGACAAACTGTCCAGCCAGTGAAGGCAGGACAGACAGACTGTCCGGCCAGAGAAGGCAAGAGAGACAGACTGTCCGGCCAGTGAAAGCAAGAGAGACAGATTGTCCGGCCAGTGAAGGCAAGAGAGACAGATTGTCCGGCCAGTGAAGGCAGGAGAGACAGACTGTCCGGCCAGTAAAGGCAAGAGAGACAGATTGTCCAGCCAGTGAAGGCAAGAGAGAGACTGTCCAGCCAGTGAAGGCAAGAGAGACAGTCTGGATAGGCTATCCAGCTAGCGAAAAAAAAAATTATTCTGTATTTACTGGCCGGACAATCTGTCTCTCTTGCTTTCACTGGCCGGACAATCTGTCTCTCTTGCCTTCACTGACCGAACAGTCTGTCTCTTTTGCCTTTACTGGCTGGACAGTGAAGGCAAGAGAGACAGACTGTCCGGCCAGTGAAGGCAAGAGAGACAGATTGTCCGGCCAGTGAAGGCAAGAGAGACAGATTGTCCGGCCAGTGAAGGCAGGAGAGACAGACTGTCCGGCCAGTAAAGGCAAGAGAGACAGATTGTCCAGCCAGTGAAGGCAAGAGAGAGAC